ATTTGGCCCCTGGTTCACTCTCAGAAGTTCACCCAACCCACCACTCACTCAGTGTCACCTGCGTGTCCCACCCAGTATTTCCTCGGGGTGCACCAGGTCTTTCTGGAAAAGAGGAGGGACAAAGATGGGGTGAAGGGCCCTCACTTTGGCCTATGGGGTATTTCAGGGTGCAGCAGTGACAGAAGTCACTGAGACAGTGGCAAACCCCTGAGTGAGGGCAACTTTGAGACTTACTGGGACCAGTAAAAGGCCACTGAGACACCCCACAGTTTAATCCTGCTGAGGTCACTGAGCCACTGCAGTTGGTTCCTCTCCATCCTCTGGTTCCTCTCCACCACCTGGTTCCCCTCCATCACCTCTTTCCATCACCTGGTTGCCTCCATTCATTCCTCTCCCTCATTCTCCTCTCCAGCATGAGCCAATCCCATGTCCAGGTCTGGGATGGGGATGACCACGTGCAGAGGTGGACTTTCTTGCCAAGAAGCCTCCTGGAAGACAAACAGACGGACACATACTCCGTGCACGGCCTCTGCTGTGGATGAGGACGGACACCAGACCTCCAGACTCCAACTCAGCTGGAAGGGACACCCAAAAACGTGCCAGGAACATCCAATCCGGGACAGGCATTTGCCTCCCACCGCGCAGGGGCTTTGAGGCACAACAAAAGGCCTGGCAGCAGTGATGCCACCTCGGCTGGGCACCGTGTCCCTCTGCCAGGAGCACGGCTGAGCTTGGCAGCTCCACCCACCCAGACCTTCATTTTCCCCCCTGCAGGAAGGAGGCAACTGCCGTCTCCATCTCAGTGCACAAAGACAAGGCCATGCCCAGCAGGGTGGATAAATCCATGGGTTTGGCTGCCTTGGGCTGGCTCCAGTGGGTGACCCTTGGAACAGGGACACTGGGGTACAGGGAGGGCCTGGGTTCAGGGGGCTCAGGCTGGCAGGTTGTGCCTCCTCCAAAAGCAGAGGTGGTGTTCCCTCACACATCATCAGTGTGGCCTCTCTGGGGTAAGGGCTGTCCCAGAGGGTAGGATGACCCTCACCCCTTCGACTGTGCTGAGGGAGGAGGAGCCACAAGCATCCTTCCCTCACAGTACCTAATAAACCTCCTCTGAGCCTTCCAGCCATGGCTTTCCACCACCAAAGTCCTCTCCCAAGCCAGAAGCCACAGACTTGTATCTCCCTGTGACACCAGGGCGTCCAGAAGGGTGACAGCCACCAGCTTCCACCCTCCAACCCAGAGGGGTTTGGGTTGGAAGGGACCCTAGAGAGCATTCCATTCCATGATGTTCCAGAAGTCCGGGGTGACCCTGAGGATGGCCTGAAGCATCCTGACCAGCCCCTTGACCAGCTCCTCACCCTGGGGCAAGGTGAGAGGTCCATCATTGCACTGGCCATGGCAGGGGAAGGAGCCAGGAGGTCTGTGTTGCCTCCCCTGAGGGTCTGGGGAGGGTCTGCTCTGCACCCCCAAACCAAGGTGAAGAGGTGATGGTGAAGAGCCTTTCCCAGTGCAGATGCAGCACGTGGGAATGGGGGCACCACATCTGGGCCACCGAATCTCTGCCCAGACCAAGACGGGGTCACCAGAGGCTTTGGGGTGCCACCTCCCCACTCTTGCTCCCCTCAGGATCTGGAGAATCTTCTGGATATTCAGCTTAGGGATCAGGGACCCTAAGCAGAGGAGATCCCAGTTCTTCCCGAAGGGAACACCAGAGGAGGTGCCGGGCTCTTCCCCCTCTGCCCTGGAGACGGCAGCAGCGAGCCGCGGCTGCGGGGCCCGCATCGCCCCGGCCCCGGTACCGGCATCCCGGGGCCCGCGAGGAGATGCAGGGATGGATGGACACGGGATGGAGGGACACTGGAGCACAAAGAGAGAGGAGTGGAGCCTCGTCCTCGGTGGATTTTAGGGCGTGTGTGAAGCCCCCGGCCCCCCCGGGACGGAGTCCCGATGTCACCCGTGGGAAAGGGAGGGCGAGGGCTGGCAGGAACACGCAGCGTGGCTGCCGGGACAGCCGATGGTCTCCAGAGGGAGTGGGGAGAGGGCAGGAATAGGCCCCCCCGGAATTCCACGGCACTCTCGGGAGCTCCTGTCAAAGGGGTGCTGAGCCCCCCCCTCAGCTTGGTTTGCAGGATGAGCCCTCCTGGCCTGGCAGTTTGGAGCCACCGGGGTGGAGAGTGCCAGAGGAAATTTAGGGATCCGGAAGGGTGGGGGGGGAGGTGGGAACACCTTTCCCACACTGGAAACCCCTCAGTTTCCCCACTCAGCGCTGGCGTGGGAACTGGAGCAGGGTGGGGTGTGGGGCAGTGTCGAGGGTGTTGGGAACACCCTGTGCCAGGCAGGATGGGGTCACCCACTCACCCCACCCCCGGGGACAGGCTGGGATCCAGCCCCTGACACTGTCCCTGAGGCCAGAGGAGCTGGAGGGGCTGTGGGATTCCCCCAAAAAAGGACGAGCTAGGAGCAGCCCCTGGGGCCCGGTGTGGGGGCTGAGGCACTGGGGGGGTTCATGTTTGGATTTGGGATACTCTGCGTGTGGATGTGTGTCCATGTTGGCTGGATTAGGGTGTGCCTGTGTGCACACGTGTGTGCACGTGTGTGCCCCTGCTGAGGGGGTGCACGTGTGTGTCACAGCCCATGAGAGACAGATATAGACATATAGACATATAAACATATATATATATATAGGCATATAGATATATAGGCATATAGGCATATAGATATATAGATATATAGATATATAGATATATAGATATATAGATATATAGATATATAGATATATAGATGTGTGTGTGTGTGTGCACAGTGTGAGTGCAAATGTGCATCCATGTATAATTGTCTGCAGACACATGTGTAGGTGTGTGTAAATACGGTCATGTGTGCATACATGCAGATGTGTCAGTGTCTGTAGAAATGTGTGTAAATGCACATGGGTGTGTATAAGTACACGTGTGCATACATACACACGCATGTGCACAGACGTGTCAGGGTAGACACGTGTGTAAATGCACATAGACACGTGTGTAAATGTGCATGCATGTGGGAGTGTGCACAACGTGTGTCAGTGTCAGGAGGCACATAAGAGCACTCAGGGGTGTGTGCACAGACATGTGTGTCCCTGTCTGTAGACGTGGGTGTAAGTGCACAGAAGTGTCAGTGCACACATACACACGTGTAAGTGTGCACAGACGTGTGTCAGTGTCTGTAGATATGTGCATAAATACACACGTGTGTGCACATAAGTGTCAGGGCACACATACACACGTGTGAGTGTGCACAGACGTGTGTCAGTGTCTGCAGGCATGTGTGTAAATGCACATATGTGTGTACATGCACATATGCATGTGTGTAAATGTGCACGATGTGTCAGTAGGCTCGTGTGTAAGTGTGCACTCAGGTGTGTGTGCATATGCACACACGTGTGAGTGTGCCCAGACACGCGTGTCAGCGTCTCTATCCACGTGTGTCAGCGCACATACGTGTGCGTAAACACACGCAGGCACCGGCGCAGACCCGCACACGCGTGTGAGCGTGCCCAGACACGCGTGTCAGAAGCGCACACGCGTGTGAGCACATGTGCACACCCCTGCTCAGCCCCCCGCCCGGCCAAGGTCACGCGTGTGCCGCATCCGTGTGAGCGCGGCTGGCGA